ACCCCGTAAATAAGCACGCCCCTCAAGGCATCAAGCCCGTTACAGGGGACTACCAGGCTTGGGGCTTCACTGCCTCCCGCACTCGTCCCCGGAACACCCACTTTGAGAAAACTCAGTGACTGAGGTGCAAGTTTTGTCCGGGACCTCCAAGCGATAAACAGCATCCTTACTCCTCAGCAGCCTCCCACCCTACGGACACCATTTGCCACAGCTCGCTGCTCCCAAGGCCAATCTGGTCCGAAGGGTGCTTTTTCATATGATAATGTGGATGCCCAGCAATTGGTCCCAGAGGGGGAAATCTAAGAACCGTTGGCTGGAAAGGAAGAGAGCTCTGGTTTGGACCAAATAATAATCTGGCCCCATCAGAAAGTCTAAAACTCCCACTACTTACCCTGGACGAGCATTTAACCTACTGACAAAGTGACAGCACTCGTGACCCACACTGGTGGGGAAATATTAATGAGGCAACGAGAAGTGCCCACCTTCCGGTCCTAACTGTCCGAAGTGCCGTCCACAGAATCCCATTCACACAATGGCTTTCATACAGCTGGCCCATCTCGTGGACATAAGTATGTTTTTGTCACGGTTTGTATGTTTTCTCGCTGGGCCAAAGTTTTCTCTTACAGACAGGCCACTGCTTCCTCTGTGGCTAAAATTCGGTTAGAAAAGATTATCCCTACCTGGGAACCCCTCTTGAACTGCATAGGACCGGGCAATCCATTTTACTGGCCGGTGGCTTTGGCAAGTCTGTGCCGTTCAGCCGGTTTTATAGCACTGTCACCATGCATTTCATCCCCAATCCTCAGAGTTTGTCAGATACACAAATAACACTTTTAAGACTTAATTGGACAGTTTGTAGAGACCGTCCAAATACCTTGGTCAGAAGAACTGCCGTTGGTCCGTCTAAACCTCAGATCCACTCCCTTGGAAACTCATAGACTCTCACCCTTTGAGGCAGTCACAAGATGCCCAGTGCACTTGGCCCTGCCTCCCTGACCCACAGTTGCTAAAAGGAGATACATGTCAGTACTGTAAAGGTCTAATTGCTTCCATTAAAAGTAACCGTGATTTGGGGCGCCTGGGTGGCTCAGTCCAGTTGGATGAAGTTGAGCATCCATCCAACTTCAGCTCAGGTCATGATCTCATGGTTTGTGGGTTCCAGCCCCACATCAGGCTTTGTGCTGATGGCGGGGAGCCTGCTTCAGATTCTCTGTCTCCCTCTGTGCCCCTCCCCCACGAGCTCCCCCCCCTCTCAAAAATAAACAAACATTAAAAAGCAAGTAACCATGCTTTGGTAGAGCGATCTTTTTCACAGTGGGCTCCTGGAGACAACGACCTGAAGCATCATAGCTTGCAATCTGGAGACTTCATTTGTGGGAAAATGACACATCCAGAAAGGCTCTCTTCAACCTCACTGGAAAGGCCCTTATCAGGAACTTTGAACCAACCCTCGTGCTGCCAAACTCCAGGGAATAAACTCTTGGACTCACACGACACATCTGAAGACAGCACCAAACCCCGACTAGCCCTGCACACCAGCTGGTGTCCTGAGAGTGGACTTCCCAGAATTGAAGCACAGGACATCTGACGAGACACTGTCCCGAGACGTCCAGACAGGCCCCTGTACCTTTTCTCACTGCTGCTGCTTCTCTCTTTCACAGAAAGACAATGCCCTTGCTTCTGCATTTCCCAAAACCTTGAGAAAGACAAAATCTATTTTGATTATGGCCTTTTGTAAACAGCCTCATCACGAACCTGTGACAAATTCATCTTTTCAGCTGTTTTTTCTGGATGGTTAGAAGGCTCAGGATTCACAAGTCCTTCCTTCATCTGAACGAGTATCTGGCTCTGGATTCCTATCCAGATTCATAGCTTCTGAATTTGCAACCTTACAGGCTGTCTGATTGGTATATGTGCTGCTGAAGCGAGCACACAGGCCGTCTGATTGGGTAACAGTTGTTTCCAATCGGTTCTTTTGAGATAACAACATAGTTTTTTCTTTAATTTTTTAAAATGTTTTTATTATTTATTTTTGAGACAGAGAGAGACAGAGCAAGAGTGGGGGAGGGGCAGAGAGAGAGAGGGAGACACAGAATCTGAAGCAGGCTCCAGGCCCTGAGCTGTCAGCACAGAGCCCGACGTGGGGCTGGAACTCATGGACTGTGAGATCATGACCTGAGCCGAAGTCGGACACTCAACCGACTGAGCCACCCAGGCGCCCCAAGATAACAACATAGTTTTAATACATCCTTGAGGTTTTGCTATTGCAAAGAGTTCATCAGTCATTGCATCATGTTTATATCTGCACTGTAACCCCCCAAACGCACCTGATCCTGTGTGCTCTCATGGCGTTCACTATTCTGCTTTTGTGGTTGCTTCAAGTGGGGACCTCCAGGAGGCATATGTGACTCCAGGTTTGCCTTTGTGGGGAGAACTCTTCTCCCCTAAGTCAGAACAGGTGCCAATAAATATTTCAGTTGGCTACTTTCAGACCTAGGATCCTAGTTTAGAAGCATCACACGATTTGGAATTGTAGTGTTACTTCTGTTTTGTCTAAGTTTTGCATTTTGTCACCTGTCAAACTTTTGTAAAAATGGTGTACCAAAGCCATGATCTCCAATGCTTATGGTCTTGATAAACACGCACAAGAGATGGGGAGCACCTGGAAGTCCTCCCTCCTGACCTTCCTTGTTACTCAGCGTGGCCTTAAGTGGTTTCCAACTGCTGTGCACTTTCCCTCCATCATGGAACATGACAACCAGAAAAGGTCCTCCCTAGCACCGAGAGACAAAAGCATTAAATATGGAAAACCTGACTCTTGATCAGGATGCTTTCAAAGAGCGATCTTGATCAAAAGGGGAAAATGTGAAAATTAATAAAAGGAAATCGCGTTTAGAATGGAATCAGGAGGGTGGGCACCTGGGTGGCTCAGTCAGTTGAGCGTCTGACTTCAGCTCAGGTCATGATCTCGAGGTTCGTGAGTTTGAGCCCCACGTCAGGCTCTCTGCCGTCAGCGTGTCAGCACAGAGCCTGCTTCCGATCCTCTGTCCCCTGTCTCTGCCTCTCCCCCACTTGCACACGCTAAAATAAATAAATATTTTTTGGGGTGCCTGGGTGGCTCAGTTGGTTGAGTGATGGACTTCAGCTCAGGTCATGATCTCGCAGTTCGTGGGTTTGGGTCCCGTGTCGGGCTCTGTGCTGACAGCTCAGAGCCTGGAGCCTGCTTCGGATTCTGCGTCTCCCTCTCTCTGCCCCTCCCACTCAAGCTCTCTCTCTCTCTCTCTCTCTGTCAAAAATAAACAAACATTAAAAAAAAATTTTTTTTTAATATTTTAAAATAATGGAGTTAGGAGGCCAGCAGGGGGAGCGCTCACGCACAGCACTAGTTGTCAACACAGCCAACAGGAAGGTAGACACCTTGCAGGTGGAGAGTACTTCGGAACCCCAGCAAGAGGAAGCAAGATTTTCTCTTCCTGGGGCAACAGCTCAGCCAATAAGAAGCCACTATACTTCCAACTCTCGGTTTACTCGAATGGACTTTTAGTTTATAACAGCTCCCTCCCCCAACTCTTCCCTCCCTCTGTAAAAGAGCTCTCCTCCCTTCTGTTCCCAAGACGTGCCTATGGTTTTCTTGTGGCTAGCTTGTCCTAGGTTGCAATGTTATTCCAGAATAAACCCATTTTGCTTGCAAAGTAACTGACGGTTTCATTTTTAGGGTTCACAAGGTAAACACATACATATACATTAAACACAGTTTTGAGGTGTAGTTCACATATCACACAATTCAGCCATTTGGAGTGTGCAGTTCAGTAGATTTTAGTGAATTCACAGATGTGTGCAACCATCACCGCAATTTTAGAGTATTTCCATGGCCCTTTAAAGAAACCCAGTACCCTTTAGCAATCACCTCCCCCAGCCCCCTTCCCTTTCCCAGCCCGTGGTAACTATTAATCTTAATGTCTCCATGAATTTGCCTATTCCGGACATTTCGTGTAAATGGATCATATAATATGTAATCTTCTGGGACTGGCTTCTTTCACTGAGCATAATGCTTTCCAGGTTCACCTTGTTCCTCGTTTAGGGCCGAGTGATTTCCCATGGTTGTACGGACAGACCACACTTTGGGTAGCCATCCACCAGTTCTGGGACCTCAGCTTGCTTGCCCCTCTGGCTACTGCGAATCATGTTGCCACGGACATCTGTGTCCTGTTCTGTATCCTCCCTTGGGCACACACCTAGTGTCACATATAACTGCGCGGGAAGCTTCAAAGGAACTGCCACTGTTCTTCAAAGCAAAGAGCTTCGGGGCCTTTTTTTTCCCCCTTTTTTTTCTGCGGGGGCCCTCATCGTATTAACAATTTGAGCCAACCCAAACCAGCAAATCCACGGCATTGCGACCGCGGAGACCCCGTGAAAGAACCACCCGCCTGCCCGCGGACCCTGCGGACTAGAGCCCCGAGCGGCTGGCGGCACCCGGCCCCTCGCACGTCGGATAGAGGGTGGAGAGGCGCCCCAAAGGGACGCGGGTGCGACCACACGGCGGGAAGACGCTCCAAGGCAGCGCGGGCGAGGCTGCGTAGCGGCCAGGGCCGGCGCTCGGAAGGGCGAAGGGGTCGAGAGGCTCGGGGCCCGCCGCCGGGGCAGGAGGGTCTGGCGTTGCCCCTACGCGCCAGGACGCGGGGAGACGCCAGCTCACCTGGCCTGCGGGCTCCGGTTTCCTAGCAACGAGGCGGCATCCTTCCCAGCAAGCACTGCTTCTGACCCGCGGCGTCGGAGACTACGAGACCCAGCGTGCCCCGCGGCCCGGCCGCAGGGACTACAAATCCCACAAGGCACCGCCCACCCTTTCCTAGCCGCCCCCAACCCCTGCTCTCCCAAGACCCCGCCGTGGGAGCGCCGCGACCCCTTCCCGGCGCTCCTCGCGCCGTGCGCAGCGCGCCCTCGCGGTGACCCGCTGTGCGTGGGGTCAAGGCGCGGGGCGGAGCGGCTGGGCTGGCGCCATGCGGAGGGGTGAGCGCAGAGGCGCGGGGGGACCGCGGCAGGGGTCCCCTGTGCCGGCGGGCAAGGCCTCGCTGGAGGAGCCGCCCGACGGCGCGACCGCAGGCCGAGCGAGCGGGCCGGGCGCTGGCCGCCGCAGCACGGAGTCCGAGGTCTACGACGACGGCACCAACACCTTTTTCTGGTGAGGGGCGGCGGTCGGCGGTGGGGCCCCGGGGGGCGCGAGGGTGATGGGCACGTCGTGCTGGGGTGGAGGGGCGCCTGCGAGACCCGCCCGGCCGCGGCTGGTCCCTCGCGGCGGTCGCGCCCGGCACCTGTGACCCCTGCCCCATATCCCGGGAGGAGTAGGCTCCAGAGTCATGTCGGAGAGGCTTTTCCTGTCCCAAATTCACCTGTGCCCGCTGTCATCTTGTTTCTTCGCAGCGCCTGCGTCGTGCGGAATCGGCTTCTCCCCCCAGCGCGTAGCAGTAACGTTAGCGCGAGCACCTTCCCACGTGCCCGGAGTTGAGCGGCTGTTTGTCAAATAAGGGTTCTGTCTCTTTTCAGGGGCTTCTCGCGGAGCCTGCTCTTCGACCCCCGTACCGCTGTCTGCAAGCCAGGCCCCGGCGTCAGGCTGCCCGCAGTCTGCCTCGACGGGTGTTGGGGAGGGAGAGGCCCCCGGGAGCATTCCTGACCGCTCCCCCCGCCCGGAGCCTGTGTTGGAAGAGTTCACGCTCTTGCTTTATGCTGAATTGGGCACTTCTGTATGTGAGGTCCCAGGCGTGGCTCCTACGCCACATGGCTCTGTGACCTTGGATTAGCCCTTCACCTTCCCCAGCCTCCTTGCTGCTCTGTAAGAGAGAGAAACCCCGTGTACTAGACAGCATGCTTCTTGAGGGCTGGGGTTTGGTTTTCTTTGCTGGATGCTGAGTTCCTGTCAAGAAGACAGTGCCTGCATTTGAGGCCTGCGGTAGGCCCTGGGGGACAGAGGGAGGTAGATGTGGCCTCCAGCTGCAAAGGGAATGCCACGTGGAGGCAGCTTTTCAGAGAACCGAACTGTGGGATTGTCATGGGAGGTCTGATCGGGGAATGCGGAGAGCCTGATGGGAGTAATTGGACGTTTCAGGGGAGGGTGCCGCCGCAGGGGCAGAAACCGAAGAGGAGGCGCGCGTGGGGCCGAATGGGTGTCGTGGTTTCTATCGGATTCAGGAGAGGTACAGGGTGGTGGTGGGTGTTGATAGGGCTGCAGCCCTGCATCTGGACGAAGTTGGTGTCTTCCCTGTGGGTGCTGGCAGCTGCCGTGCAGGGTTGGCTTTCAGCCTTGCTTTGGGGACACGGTGCATTCAGGTGGCCTCGGAGCCCGTGGGAGCGAGACAGGGATGGCATGCCTCATCCAGGGCGTTGTGGCCCCTGAGCTAGAGACCGGAGCACTCCTGGACCTGCTGGGCCTGCGGCATGCAGGCCAGGCCTCTTCACCAGCTGTGTCTGTGAGCACGCCCCTTCGGGCTGCAGGAGGGAGGGCTTCATCCTAGGACACGGCGGCTGTTCTTGTTTCCTGCTCGTGCACATACTTGGGGGCCCCAACTGGGTGCCCGTTGCTGTTCTAGGGACTGCAGCAGAGAACCAAACAGGAAGCTTAGACTTTGGCGTAAGCCTGGGGCCTCAGAATCACGAGATATACTGGCTGAAGGGGATGCACCAGCAGGAACCGGGGAGCACACGCCTCACCTCATGCAGTGAAAGGCAGACGCCCACGACAGCCCTCGGGTCCTATGCACAAAGGTGCTTGGTCAGTCGGGTACTGGACACACAGGTGCCTGCTGTAGCCGGGTTTACCTATGAGGAGGGCTGCTGGGGGCCTGGAAGGCTTTCCACGAGGAAGTGTGACAGGGCTGGCTAGCTTCAGGGGCCTGCCTCGTGGATCTCCTGGGTGGGTGGCTCCTGCCTCCCCACCGCGGGTGTGAGGGGTGCTGTGCTCTGTGGTCCGTGCAGGCCCTTGCTGCGTCCCAGGCCCCCCCTCACCTGTATAGGGGAAGGAACTTCTCATTTGTCCTGGCAGGTAACCAGATGCCTGCTTGGTGAGAATTACTCATTCTTACTTGTAGAGCTTAGCCACTCGCCACCTTTTTAGTCTCTCCTCACTGACTTGATGTGTTATGGTTTTGAAAACTTTTATTTTGTGTTTGAGAGAGTTTTAGTAACGAATGGTACAAAACCTCCTGTAGAGATTAAAAGTTAGTATTTGTGGAAATGATTTTTTTGTTCCAGAATTACTCAAAGGAACTTTTGCAGGATTCGAAACCTTACTTTTAGGGTTTTCCCCACAGATGCCCAGTGACGGTGCTGTGCACGGCCACGTAGGAGAACTCTGGAGTGTCTTTGTTTTCCCTTGTCGGCCAGGGGCTGTGTAATTCGGTTCAGGATTTGCCTGCGCCTTGGAGCTTGAGGCTGGCCTCCCGGAAACAGGCCCAAGGGGGCGGGCGTGAGGACTGCCGGGGTCTGTGGTGGCAGGGACACCAAGTCTTCTACTGGTTGTGGTGGTCCTCTGGTGCAGAACATCCAGGGGGAAGCAGGACCGCAGACTCAGAGGAACGGCACAAAGATGTGTTAGCCCTCGTTTTCTAAAGATTATCTGGGAGCCACTTGGAGACTTGATGTCCTGGAGAGGTGCTACCGAACGCTGCCACCTGTGGATGGAAGGTGGGTGAATTGCCACCGGATTGGCACATTTCCTAACCAGCTCCTAAAGCAGGGAGGGGAGGGACGGTTGTGACGTTGTGGGAGTGCTTGCCGTGTGCTTGTGTCTTGTAACACTGGGCCTTGGGTGAGCACTCTCGGCGACCCCAGGACTCTTGTCCACAGCATCCGATAGTAGCAGCAAGAGTGCGCAGGGGTGATCTCGGTGCCCCGGGTTCTGGAAAACGCCTTTCTCAGTCATTGTGGGGTAGGGGTTTGCCAGCTCTGCCCGGATCTGGAAAGCTTGACTCTGCAGCGGATTCCTCTTTGGTCATGTTGATCAGCAGCCGGGGAGGGTCAGTGTCATGGCCGCAGGCACTTCTGGCACACCTGGGGCAGGCCCTCTGGTCTTGGCCTTTCCTGGCCGAGGCTGCCTTGTGCTCGCGGTGTGCCAGCCACACCTTCATGTTTCCTCTCATTGGTTTGGCGGGCCTGCCTTCCTGCCCACTTGGCGTAATGAACGTGGTCATCTCGAGAGAGGGACTGACAGCTGGGTATTTTCCACTCATCGTGGCAGGGAGCCAGCTGTCCTCACGCCCTCGCCCTTGCTGAGTGACTGGAGAGTCACGGGATTTACGGCCGCTCAGAGCTCCCTGAGTTCTCTATTAGCCGTTAACCCAGAGGATGTGCTGGTCTTCCCAGTACCAGGGAGGTGGGACAGGGGGCGTCTGGGAGGGACGGGAGGTCTCCCCGAGTGTTCCACACGTGGAAATGGTGCTCTGAAAGATGAAGAAAGCTGCTCAAGACCGCAAGTCTACTGAGTGGCAAAGCTGATGACCAAAATCCGTATTTTCCCACTGTGCCCCATTGCCTCTCCAGGGAAAACTGTCAGAGCAGGAAACATAGACTTTACAGGGAAAAATGGGAGGAAAGCACAGGCCATGGATTGAGCGGTGGTCTGAAAGAATTCTCGGCATTCTGTCTCCCGGGCGCCGACCTGGCATTCCCCTTTACCACTGCCGGCTGCCTGTAGTGACTGCTGTGTCAGGGATCGAGTCCTGACCATGCAAACCCCACTTCGTCCTCCTGGCAGCAGGTGGTCTGCACCTACGTTTCTGCCTTCATCCAGAGTGCCTCTGTATCTACCTGTGAGTTTGGGTTTTGTGTCTAGATTCCACACGTAGGAGAGATCACGTGGTGTTTGTCTTTCTCCCACTGATCTCAGCACGATGCCCTCGAGGGCCACCTGTGTTGCCGATGGCAAGATTTCATTCCTGGGTGTGGCTGGGTAACATTCCTTTCCGTCCAGTCGGTGAGCACTTGGGCTGTTTGAGTAACGCAGCAGTTCCCTAGGGGAGCGTGTGTCTTTCCAACTTGGCGTCTTGTTCCCTCCAGTCCCCGGTGGTGGGACGACTGAGTCTTAATGGCAACTTTATTCTCGTTCCTCGAGGAACCTCCATACTGTTTGCAGAGGCTGCACCAGTTCGCACCACTGGCAGCGCATGGGGTCCCCTCCTCCTCATCCTCTCCGACACTGGTGGTTTGTCTTTTTGACGCTAGTCATTCCGACAGGTGTCAGGTGACCGCTCGCTGGTTTTGATTTGCATTTCCCCGGTAATGAGTGCCATCGAGCACCTTTCCACGTGTCTGTTGGCCGTTGTGTCTTTGGAAAAGCATCTGCTCAGGTCCCCTTGCTGTACAGAAGGAGGGAGCCTTCGTAAAGATGCATTTCATCATAATTTAGTAATAAAAATTTTACTTTCTAGTAGCACTTGACCTTAGCAGTTCTGAAGTCTGTTGTTCTGTGAGACTTTGGTGCCCTGTGCTCTACCTCTGGGTCCTGGACTTTGTGCTCCTTCCTGCCTCAGATGGGACAGAGGGAGGCCTACTTATTCCTTATTCCTGTTTCCACAGGGCCGGGGGTGACTGACCGAGTGACAGTGGGAACGTTTATTTCAAAGGACAAAAAGTTGTTTTTCATTTTCAGATAATCCTTGTGTTTTTTCGGAGGATGGAAAGATCTGTGACTGGAGCTGTCTGGGGCTCCTCAGGGAAGGTGTCTTAGCCCAGAGAAACGATAGGAAGATTATCGTGTTTGTGGAAATTAATACGAAAGAAGCCAGAGGGTTGAAGTCATTTTTTAAGTCCTGGGACAAAAGCTTCTGTGCTCCAGAGGTGCGGTTTCGGTGGGGCACCTGCAGGGTGCCTCTCGTGCTGTGTGTTTCTTAGATCCTGGCAGGACCCGGTGCCTGTGCGTGGAGGGGTGGGGGGGTGCCCAGCGGGCCCCTGCACAGCACCTTGGCGTCCTGATGTCCCTGAAGCCGCGTGGACGGGTCCTGGGCCACAGCGCATCAACAAGGTGTTCCCTGTGCCCCTCGGGTCTCTTCCAGACCGTGTGGTCGTCTCTCCTCAAACTGACTGGCTTGTTTTTCCTTCTGCAAGTCTGATGCCAGTTTGTGGGCTGTTAATCTAGTTTACTCTCCTTCCTCCCTGAGGCTGGGGCTCCTTCCCATCCCTTTTCTCATAGACACTTGCCTTGCTGGGAACCCTCTGGGCCAGGTGGCCGCGCAGGCCTATGGCCAGGCCCCTGGGACAGTCCTGTCCCTTTCCTAGGCAGATGGCTCCCAGCAAGTGCTCCCATGAACACCGCACACTGTTGGTCTGCCTGCTGTGGGCATTCTCCCAGTTCTGGAGGCCTGGAGCCCCCTTGGACCGACCTGTCACTGGTGGGGAAACAACTTGCCACTTCGGAAACATGCACCCTTTGGAGAAACCCGTTGAGAACTCCTGGGACAGGAATTGGGCCCAGCGGGTTCTTGCTCTGTGCACCTTACCTGTGCTGGTCTCTGGGTGGTGTCTTCTCAAAGGTACACGGGACGGGCGTTCTGCCCCGTGCCCTGTAGACCACTCCGGCTCTCCTGGCGTGCTTCCCTGGATCCTGACCTTGCACCAACAACGGTCGATTTGTAACGTTTTGTTGTAA